TGTAAAAATCGTGAAAATACGCTTTAAGATAATTATTCTGTATCGGAATTCAATGACTGTGCCGTTATCATTCCAAAACCAGCAAGAGACTTACAAATACAATATTAATTGTTTCCAGGAATAACATTTGGAAACCTAAATATACCTGCTCAATGAAAGTGAAACTGATCTCTACTGATCTAAATTATTTTATATCATGGGCGGTGAAACTACACGGATTTGGGGGGAGGCCATTTATTCACATACACTGTTCTGCGCGATGGATTTTTTTGACCCATTGACTCGTTCATTTTCGCGCTTGTATACCATGAAATATCTACAAACACTGATAAGTACAGATTGCAGTCACGTAGCAATGCGGCCTGACAATTTAGTCCTGCTATACTAATATTTAGTGCATCTTGATTATGAAAACAAATAATTCTGCAGAAATGAATAATGATTATTTGTTCATCAAGGAATAAGACGCTGACACTTTGTATGCAAGATCAAATCCACTCCAATGAAACTCTACTCCACAAATCCAATAAAAAATTATCCTGTCCAGTTGTAGAACCAAAATACCAATATAATACCAAAAAAAAATTTTGTACCAAATAATAGTACGATTATGTTTGAAATATTCATCAAAATTAAAAAAGCGGATGGGAGAGTTTAATTTTCCCAAATTTGAAACATCACGAGTACTATTCTAATAACCGCTAATTGTACCAGCAACACTACATTATTGCATGGCAAGGCCGTGCGCAGGATGTTTAAACAATAATTCATTTTGACTGCTCTGCGTCGTTTGATTCCAAATTTATCTTCCAGAATTTAATTTACATACTTCTGAAAACTCAAAATTCGCGTCCCGTTGTCGCTTCGCGTCCGGTCTGTGTCCACCTTAATAAGTAAATAAACACGGCGGAGTATATCGGCTAAATGCACATCAAAAACTGTAATCACCATCCTTAAGTCTCACCAAACAAAGAAGAAACATTATACAATTAAAAACTAAGTAATATTATTAGAAAACTACTGCAGAAATGACTACTTTTTTATTGTTGTCTTTAATTATTGTAATAAAAGAAAATAATGTAATAAAAACGAACTACAAAGCATGCGTTGATACGTACTACATAGAATATAGTAAATATTTTGCTAACTTAGTCAGTAATTTAGGGTCCAATATTCATAATTTACGGTAATTCTATGTCGTTAGTAATTGAAGGCCTTAACTTTTTAAGCCTAAAAATTGTCTTGAATTTTCCAATTGGAAGCTTGCAGGTCCTAACAATTGTTTCCACTTATACTATGTTACTATTTGCTGTAATCATCTTCCTGGCAACATCTCGCAGTATATGACAATATTAGAAGATAAAAAGGTCTTAGAATGCGAGACGAATAGAGGCTGAAAATAAACAATGGCTCAATTTCAAAAACTTTTGACGAAACAGTAATACAGGCACATGCAGATAATTATTTTTCATCGGTTAAATGTATTTTATGAAACAAATGAAAAAACACACTTTATTATTAGAAACAAAATGTGCATGGTTACATCTTCTCAATTCTAAAACCCTTCATCTTCGATTAATACTTTGAAAAATTAAAATTTAAGTTTAACTGATTTCTGTGAACATTACGACCAACATTCTTCAACCACTTTGTGGACTGGCATAATTCTTTTCGCACTTCCTTGCTTATGTGATGTCTCTCCTCGTACAACGCTACTGAACGGCATATCTGTACGCACATGGTCGCTATAACGGTCCGTTAATGAAATTGTTTGAACACGATCCACGCAGTATATAGATGAAACAAAAGCCTTTCATATCCATATCCGCTTCCTTTCCTTAAATACACTTGGCCAGTTATGATCACGATTTGTACAAAATTTCGAGGCACCAGTAAAGGTGATTCATTTAAAGCACAAGATCAATAACCACTCGCGCCGTGTGCATGATTAAAATAAGGAAGCAACAAATACACATATGGGTATAATTATATCGTTTAGTCGACTGAAGCACTGTCACAATACCCAACTCTTCATCTGTCCAATACTTTAACACTGGTAACATATTTCGATTTTATTGCTTTCCTTTTCTAGTTCAGTGAGTAGCATGATCACGGTACACCATATGATGAGTTTAAAGTGTATTCCTTTTCTCAATGTAAAATAATTGCTCTTGCAGTCTTGCCGATTTCTAACTTTCGTATGTGAAGCAATCATTCTTTCAATATTGTTTCAATTATTGTTTCAGTTGCCCGATTTTTGTTACGCCGATGAAATAACTGTGAAGACGTTTGTCAACAATTGTCAAAACAAATGTCATTAGTGTTCTACTGGGTCGTAGAAGGTAGATCGGTTTGATTGATGTTATCTTTTTTTAAACAGAAGGCAAAATATTGAACTATTTCATATGTTTTTAACGATGTTTTCGGCGTTGCAAGTTCAAAGTCCTTATCACCGAACAACGCTTTGATGATCCATATATTTTACATCCTTCTTCATTGCGGAAACACATCAATACAATACGCGTGATGTCGGTCCACTAGGTTTTAGAATGTTGGCTAAAGTTTATGTTATTTCTTATCTATAAATAAGTATCAAGTATATCTGAAAGCGTTTGATGCTTACAACGTTGTAAGAAAAATTGAAACTCTCCTCTTTCTTTATGAAAGTTTAAGCATACTTTGAGAACCTCATTTATTAATGGTAGGTAGGTACATTTAGTATAAATATAATCTGATTCGAATAACAGAAAATTACAGAACAAAAATCAATTAATCAATAATTTTGACTTTTTTACTAAACTAAGTTTGCTTAAAATTTCTTAACATTAGAAGCTGCCGCATATAAATTAAATATTCTCTTATCTTAAAGAAAAACTCTGGAATTCCGCAAACTTATAATATTGAAGGTCAACTTTTCCACATATAATTTGCTACAGGCACTTTATTTTCTAGATGCCCATACAAGCACCAAAATATATCTCGGAAACGCTGAGCAGGACGGTGTTAGCCTGCATTTGTTTTCTAAGTAATTTTTTTTTTGCTATGTTGCGCATGCCTGAAACAAGTGTACATTTATTTCTGGGAGCAAGTTCAAATGCTTGCACAAAAAGTTTAATCTGCAAAGTCAAATAAAGTGCTGCTTTTATCAGTGAAAATTTCATACAGGCAGCCACCCCCTTTTTTCAAAAATAAACTATTGGATGTGAACCGATGACGAGTGGAGAAAAATAATAGAATATCTGCTTGCTATAGCGTATTGTTTTAACACTGAAATGATATCCTACATATAATTTTACTTGCATATTGGAAATTAAAGAGAAGTAAGCAGGTTAATGTTCTAATCCTGACTGGCCCGATACCTCAATAATGCTATTCCCCTTCTTGGGACCAGCGTATGCAAATAATGGGAATAGGGAATAAGTATGCAAATAATGGGGATAGGGAATTCTTAAATCACATTTGAATTGAAATTGATATATACTTACGGCTTGGCGATAACTGCAAAACTGCATACCAATCGTACTTCGTCCAATGCACTATCACACTTTGAAGAGAGGAAATGTCTACTTATATTGATTTAAAAAACTGAATATTTCAAATCCGATACTGGCTACACAAAGCTATATAATTATTATACTTACAAACCTTAGGGTAATACAACAAAACCAGAGAACATGTCACGTGATTTATCTCTGATATTTTCGATGTCATGTTTCTGAAAAACCACGTCCTCCCCGTAGATGGTAAATGGGGCCCAGATTTTGTAAGACCGGTATGCCTGGATTTGGTGTTTTTGGAAGAGATTCTTTGTCTTTCTTAGTGCTTCACAAACCGATGTTCCCTGGCACAACTCACCATAAAATACTTCCATAAACTCTTTCGTGGCATCATCACTAATGGGCCATAGTGTGGCGAGAACAGTGCGAGCCCCGGCTGCAATAAATGCCCGAGCAATACCTATGACACCTTCGGAAGAAATCTCACCTTGCCCGGTATGGCAACAGCATAAAACTACCAAGCTAGCTAGCAAAGAAGTATTTACAATATCCTTCTGTGAGAGAAGGTAGTCGTCTGGATAAGGAAGAGTCGAAAATGGCCGAGTCGAAGAAACGTTAGGGGAAAGCATTATTTCACCTCGAAGTTGTTCACCGTGAGCAGCGATATGGATTATGCTAGCCCCAGATAAAAGATCCAGTACAACCTGTTTTCTAGCTTCACGCCCCACTAAGGGTCTAGCATTGAAGAGCTTTGAAAGACATTCAACTTCTCTAGCAGCATTTGGTAGGGCAGGGGGTGAAAATTCTTTTCCATTTAAGGAAACCGTTCCAACGGTTGGATTACCAACAAACAACGCAAAACCAAGGCCCAGATCTTGAGAGCGTTCAATGCTAAACCTTAGAGTGTGTAATGATGGCGTAACTTGAATGCTGTAATTGTGGGATAAGTGACAACCATTTTCATCAATCAATGACGAAAATGGACAAAAAACAATTGCTTGTCAGGAACAACTATAAGTTTATTGCCTTTAATCACATCGCTTACAGGGTCAATAAGTAGTTTAAACAATGTTTTCAAAATACCGTCTTGGTTTAAATCATCATGCCCAACAGAAGGTTTCTGATAAAGATTTTTGGACGGAGATTTTTCTTTAAAAACGTCCAAAGGAAGAATCGATTTTTCATCAATACTGGGCACTGAATTAAGTTCGAAAAACGAGGAATCCCGATTAACATTCACATTCACCATTCTGAACAATTCACTTATCAGTTGCACAAATTTTTCCAATCGTGCCTCTGATTTTGACACTCTATATCTAAAGATTACTTCTTTATTCAACACCCAAACATTTAGAAAACCTGGCCAATCAAAAGCGAATACTATAATGGAACTATCGTTGCTGCTTACCTGGAGGATGCTTTGTAAATCTTCGATTTCTACCTGTTCTTCACCATTCTTGATTCTATTCCATCCCGAACTTGCATAATCGAACATTTTTGTATTCAAAGATTTCTTTTTCTTTCAATGGAGCAATGAAGTTCTTTAGCCCTTCCAAGGTCAATGACTAATAATGCAGATTCAATGCGACCCACAGAAATAAAACAAATCATGATCTTTACATGGGTAAAGTATTGTTTAGTGAATGACAACTTATTTTGGTCTGGTACTGAGTTTAAAAACATTTTGTCAAGGATGCTGATAGATTCCATGAAACATGATATTGCACCTTTATATTGTCCTAATAATACAAGAACAAATCCCAAATTGCTTTTACTAATTGCTAAGAGTGACGGATCATTAATATCAATGCTTATTTCTAAAGCTTTCTTGTAATAGTCAATGGCTTTCTCATATTCTCCTAATCCAAGGTAGGCACTGCCCAAATTTAATTTCTGAGTGGCTATTGCAGATTTATCGCCCATACCAGTACTAATTTCTAATCCCTTTCTGTAACAGTCAATAGCTTTCTCGTATTCTTCAAAGCTGTGGTAAGCACTGCCCAAATGACAATAGCTCTTTGCTATTGCGGACTTATTGCCAATGGCAGTACTCATTTCTAAACTTTTTTTGGAATAATGAATAGATTTTTCATATTGTCCTAAACATCTAAAAACAACGCTCATATAACAATTGACCTCTGCTATTTGATACTTATCGCCAATAGCGGTACTAATTTCTAAACACTTTTTTTGACAATCAATAGATTTTTCATACTCTCCCAAGAATATATGAGCAATGCCCAAACCGCCATTCGCATCTGCTATCCCTGATTTATCGCCAATAATAGTACTTATTTCCAAACCTTTTTCGAGGTAATCAATAGCTTTGGCGAATTCTCTCAAATAACGGTAGGCGATGCCCAATTTGACATTGCTTGTTGCTATGCCTGACTTATCCCCTATAGCAGTACTCATTTCTAAACCTTTTTTGTAATAATAAATAGCTTTCTCATACTCTCCAAAACTAACGCAAATATCACCCAAATTGCCATTCCAAGATGCTATTCCTTCCTTATCACAAATATAGCGACTTAATTCCAAGCATTTTTCGCAATAATCAATGGTTTTCACATCGTCTCGTAATCCAAGGTAGGCATTTGCCAAGTCTTTACAAGTTTTTGCTATTCCTAGCTTATCACCAATAACAGTTCTCATTTCTAAACTAGTTTTCAAAGAGTCGATGGCTTTTTCAAAATCTCCAATTTTTAGGTAGGCAATGCCTAAATTGCTATTGTTAGAGGCAACTGCAGACGTCTGGCCAATATCAGCACTCATCTCTACACTTTTTTTGAAATAGTCAATAGCTTTCTCGTATTCTCCTAATATAAGGTAGGCATCACCCAAATTTTCATTGTTATTTGCTATTCCTGACTTATTATCAACAGCAGTACTCATTTCTAAACCCTTTTTGCAATAGTCAATAGCTTTCTCATACTCTCCTAAATTGAGATAGGCTTTACCTAACACTCCACTGTTTCTTGCTATTTCTAAATTATCACCAATAGCAGTACTCGTTTCTAAACCTTTTTTGCCATAGTCAATAGCCTTGGCATATTCTCCCAAACTATGGTAGGTTATGCCTAAATTGGCATTGTTATTTGCTGCTACTGACTTATCGCCAATAACAGTACTTATTTCTAAACCTTTTTTGAAATAGTCAATGGCTTTTTCATATTCTCCTAAACTATGGTAGGTCATGCCTAAATAGGTATTGTTAGTTGCTATTCCTGATTTATAACCAATAGCTGTACTCATTTCCAAACCTGTTTTGATATAGTCAATGGACTTCTCATACTCGCCTAAATTACGGTAGGCACTGCCCAAATTCCCATTGTTAGTCGCTATTCCCGACTTGTCGCCTATAGCAGTACTCATTTCTAAACCTTTTATACAATATTCAATGGCTTCCTCATATTTTCCTAAATAGATGTAGGCATTACCCAAATTGCCATTGTTAGCAGCAATTCCTGACTTATCGCCATTGGCAGTACTCATTTCTAAACCTTTTCTATAATAGCTAATGGCTTTCTCATATTTTCCTAATTTAAGGTAAGCATTGCCTAAATTGCCATAATTAGTTTCTATTCCTGATTTATGGCCGATAGCAGTTTCCATCTCTAAACTCTTCTTAAAAAAGTCAATGGCTTTTTCATATTTTCCTAACAGAAGATAAACATTGCCCACATTGCCATTTATAGTTGCTATACATGATTTATCGCCAATAGCGGTACTAATTTCTAAACCTTTGTCAAAGTAGGCTATAGCCTTCTCATATTCTCCCAAACCAAAGTAGGCATTACCCAAATTGCAATTTTTACTTGCTATACCTAGCTTATCACCAATAGCAGTACTCAATTCTAAACCTTTTTTTGAATAGCCAACGGATTTTACGTATTCTCTTAATTCATTATAAACATAGCCCAAATAGCCATTGTTATCAGCCATTCCTGACTTATCACCAATAGCTGTACTCATCTCCAAACCTATTTTGAAATAGTCAATGGACTTCTCATATTCGCCTAAAGTAAGGTAGGCATTGCCCAAATTGCTATTGTTGGTCGCTATTCCTGACTTGTAGCCTATAGCAGTACTAATTTCTAAACCTTTTATATAACATTCAATGGCTTCCTCATATTTTCCTAAATAGAGGTAGGCATTACCCAAATGGCGATTGTTAATTGCCATTCCTAACTTGTTGCCATTAGCAGTACTCATTCCCAAACTTTTTCTGTAATAGCTAATGGCTTTCTCATATTCTCCCAATCTAAAGTAAGCATTGCCCAAATGGCCATAGTTAGTTTCTATTCCTGATTTATGGCCGATAGCAGTTTGGATTTCTAAACTATTTTTAAAATAGTCAATAGCTTTCTCATAATCTCCTAATCTAAGGTAAGCATAGCCTAAATCGCCATAGTTAGTTTCTATTCCTGATTTATGGCCGATAACAGTTCGCATTTCTAAACTCTTTTTAAAATAGTCAATTGCTTTCTCATATTCTCCGAACATAAGGTAAACATTGCCCACATCGCCATTTACAGTTGCTATACATGATTTATCGTTAATAGCAGTACTAATTTCTAAACCTTTGTTAAAATAGCCAATAGCCTTCTCATATTCTCTCAAACGAAGGTAGGCATTTCCCAAATTGCAATTTTTACTTGCTATACCTGGCTTATCACCAATAGCAGTACTCAATTCTAAACCTTGTCTTAAATAGCTAACGGATTTAACGTATTCTCCTAATCTAAAATAAACACTGCCTAAATTGCCATTGTTATCGGCCATTCCTGACTTATCGCCAATGGCAATATTCATTTCTAAACCATTTTTTAAATAGTCAATAGCTTTTTTATATTCTCCTAAACTAAGGTAAACACTACCCAATTTGCCATTAATATTTGCCATTCCTGACTTGTCGCCAATAGCAGCACTGATTTCCAAACCTTTTTTGAAATAGTCAATAGCTTTGTCATGCTCTCCTAAACTATGATAGGCAGTGCCTAAATTGCCATTGTTATTTGCCACTCCTGAGTGATTGTCAAATTGAATGAAAATTTCTAAGCTTGTTGCAAAATACTCGATAGCCTCTTCAGGCTGTCCTAGGTTTAAACAGGCAGAACCCAGTTTCTCACAGGCAGTTGCTAACCCTTGAAAATTGCCAATTTCAGTACAAATTTCCTGATATTTAATGTAATAGGTAATAGCCTTTTTATACTCTGCTAATCTAAAATGGGTTTCACCTAAGTTGAGATTGATGTTTGCTCTTTCTAAGGGATCATTGTTTGCAGTGACAGATTTTGAAGACTTCGAATCCATTTCGTCACCTTTTCAAGTGTCTCTATCTTTACTTCAGACCTTAAACAAAATTATGTAAAAACTAATTAGAAGAGGTTAATTAATGTATATACCGCGCATGGAAGAGTATTTCCTTTGTTGACACTATCGAATTTTGAGGTGTTATTGTGATCGACACTTGTAACAGTATTAATCGGACTGGTAATAGTGATATTGAAAATGCACCATAGGGCTGTTTTTGGGACAAACCTTTGTTTACGTCCCAAAAACAGTTCCTTAACTCTTTTAAATAAACAATAATATAAGTTACTGCATTAGTATACATTCATTTCTAAGAGAGAGCCTTTGTTCACGTCCCAAAAATAGGACTTAACTGGTGTTGATTCCCTCAACCTTTTGTGCAATAGCGAATGGTTTTCGCCTTTTCGCGCATTCTCCTAATCTAAAAGATAAGCAATTCCTAGCAATTGTTGCCTGCTTGTGCGTTTACAATTAGTTTAGCCGAACCATTATTATCGGCACGTTTATTTGAAAAGAAAAGCAACTGAAGGCACGGACCTTAAAACCGCTATATCAGATATTAGAAAATGAAAATGTGTAATAGAAGTGTAATAAACCATACGCTCTTCTTCGGACTTCTACGATATTTGATAGTACCTAGGAAATCCACGCCGATTATGGTGAAAGGTATTATTATCATCTTAGGTCTATTCATGTGCAAAAATTCAGCAGGCGGGCTTGGAATGGTTATACAACAGGAAATCTCTTACATCCATAACGTTTCTTTAGGGATCGCTTTGCCAACATACGAAAGCAAAGATTGCCGAGGAATCCAAAATCTTCACGAACTTTCGCGTTCACAAACTTTCCACTCTTGGGCTCTGCGGACCGAAAATAGCTCTGGAATCTTGATCTATAATCTCCTGCAATGTTAATACTCTCTGGATCTTGTTGGAAGGATTTCGAGGATTGTGCTTGAATCTCAAAGCTGAATCATCAATCTTTCTTGTTTTACTCAAGCTGAACTCTTCGATCGAGAATCATCCAGGCCATTATTCCCCTTCTTCTCAGCATCAATTCTTGCTTTTGTACTTGTCACGATCTGAGGTGGCCATTCACCTGGATCAGCCAACTAGACTGGACATTTTCACCACACAACGCTGCTGACGTGAGACTGACGCCACGACTACCCATGTCTGCAGGGTTGTCAGATGTAGGAACATAAACTGATGGCTTTGTAACACTTTCGGATGCCTTATAATTTTGTTGACACGGTTTGCAATGAATTGTCGGTATTCGCTACAGTCGTTAAACCAATGGACGGCTACTGTGCTTTCTAAAATACATGAAAATGTCACGTTTTAAAGTTTATCGATATCAGGGAAGTTTTCATTATCCTCAGCATTTTCCAAGGAAGGCCAGGAAGTTCGTCCTTTCCAAGGTTGACCAAGCTGCTCATCTTGATTTTCAAATGAATGTTAACGGTCATTAGGATTTGTTTCCAGCTCCTCTTCTTCGTTCGGATTCGATTTGTGAATGAAGAACAAACTGAGAATCGTTTAAGGACATCGATATGAACGGCATCTCCTCGGATTCGCAGTTACGAATTTTGAGAAATGTGTGGTGCCAATCCTCCAAACGGGCAACTGGATGCAGGCGATTTCTCACCAACACACTCCAAAACTTATTCTGCAAGTAGTGGCCCACAAAGATCAACAAGCATTATTGGAGACACGTCCAGACGCGCGTGGATTCGGTTATACTCCTTATTTGACCAGCTTTTTCATAACACTGGGCAATCCGCATTCGTTTAAAAAAGCTGTCTTTTTAGTGATCTTTGCGCTAACAAGCAACCTTTTTACTTTGTTGGCATAGTACTTAATACAGTATTAATCTTATACACGCATATATTAAACCACTGTGAAGGTAGCCTATAGGAATTTGAAAATTTTATAATTTGTATAAAGTAATTAGCAAGCTTTTAAAATTTAAGTCCGAATAAAATTACACAATTTTAACATTATTATGACTCCCGTAAAAATTCGCATGTCAGCTCATAACTCAAATCAAGTTGAGTTCAATCCAATTATATAACAGCTCAATACATATAAATACTACATTCGAATGTTCTCACTCACATGCCATATATATTTATGTTCGTTTTTTAGTCGCATTTCGCAAATCCGGAATGCTGATTACTGGAGGAGAAACACTTATAATGTGCATAAATAACGAAAACTTCCTTTAGGATTTATGTTAGGATTGATCGAATTTTCTATTAAACAGGCAGAAGTAACATATTAAACAGGCAACTGTATAGCTATGCAAAAAATGTATACTGTAAATTTGAAAAAGCATCTAATATTATAAATTATAAAAAAGTCTTCACGGCTATACAGAACATGAAGCATGATTGCGACGTGATCTATTTATTTATCTATGCATTTATTTATTTACACATCTTGCCCGAGTCACTTATCTGAGTTTTGCTGGAATCGCAGTAGTGCAAAGTGAAACGGCATTAAAATTTGTTAAAATAAATTTCTCTTTGACTTTTCACTCCAGGCCAGAGTTATATAAATTGTTGTCAAAAACTCAATCTTTGGTTATGATTTGTTTTGAAACAATTTTGCTTTTTTTCCAAGGTTGACGAAGCTGCTTATTTTGTTTTCCAAATTAATGTTCACGGTCATTAGTAGGATTTGTGTCCAGCTCCTCTACGTTCGGATTCGATTTGTGAAGACTGATGAAGAACAAACTCATGCAGAATCTTCCATTGTTTGCATAGTGAGAGTCTACTGACACTAGGTACACCACATAAGTATTTAATACTGCAAAGCTATCGGGCCGTTAACCCGGGCTTTCATCAGTGCAATTACCTGAATACACATTTACACTGTTTACACGTCACTTAAATATCACGTTAATCATGGTTTGTTACCTCGCGCCATTCACTTACCAAAATTAATATTTATGAAAAACAAATAGTTCCAATAAATAGGTCTATTATATAGTTTTAATCTTTTTTTTTGCTCAATAGTACGTGGCGTGCTCTTTTCAATGTCAGCTAGCTAAATACTAGTCTAGGACACGCGTATAATTAAAACTATAACTTTTTCATAATTATTTGGTAATTGAAACCGCTTAATTAATGGCGTAAGCTAACAAATCACGCCTAACGTGTTATTTTAGTGCCGTGTAAATGTTATTTCAGGGATTTCTCCTGATGAAGGCCCGGGTTAACAGGCCGAAAGCTTTGCAGTATCAAATACTTATTAGATTACTTAAACTGAGAATCGTTGAAGATCTCGATATATGACGCTAGGGCATCGCGTCGGATTCAAGGATACGAAGGGTGCCCAAAAGGGCAACTGGATGCAGGTCATTTCTCAGCAACACATGATGAACTGTTCGTTCCACTGGCCGTACTGCCAGTGGAAGTACTCGGCGCTTCCGTCGTGATGGCGATTTGGATTGATATATTCTCAACTCAAATAACACAATGTGCTTTCGCCATTTTATTTAAGTACATAAAAAATACATTCGCCCTAAGTACATACAATGAGAAATACGATGAGATCACATTTTAACACCCCCACTAGCTTGATCTCATTCATATTTGCTTAACTCAGATACATCAATGGTTAACATAACTTTAACGATAATCAATATTTTACAAATATTTTAGGTACCAAATATAAAATCTTTGAATCTTTGCAACTTTGAACGTGTTGGTGATTTAGTCATTATATCAGCTATCATATTTGTAGTAGGACAGTAGTATACTACAACCTTGCCTGCGTTGATAGTCGAGCGGATAAAATGATAACGAATATCTATATGTTTTGACCTATTTCGATTAACTGGATCTTTCGATAAAGCTATCGTACCCTGATTATATTCATAAATTTGAATTAGACAACAAATATTAACGAGTTTGTTTAATAACTGGATGAGGTGAAGAGCTTCCTGAACGGTCACTGCCAGAGCAATATTCTCTGCCTCACAAGAGGAGAGCGCCACAGTCGGTTGTTTCTTTGATCTTCATGAGATCAATGGCCCGGTTTCAGTTAAACTGAAACAGTACCCACTGATACTTCGTCTATCATGGATCGAAGAGTTCCAGTCAGCATCGCTAAAACCAACTAACCGCAAATCATCATCACACTTTCTATA